TTTGGACACACTTCCCCTTCCTCAGCACCTCCGAGCGCATCAGTAAGAGGAAGTGAGTGGCCTTCGACAACCAGAGAGGGCTGGATGCGCGATCGCTGGGTGTGCCCGCCTCTCGCCCACGCAGATTCCGGACGTCCGGTCCCAAGCCTTCCCCCCAGAGTGACATCTTTTCCTGGTGCAGGGCAGGAGGGCGGTTCAGGCGCGCGGGTGAACGGAGAGAAGACGACAAGAGAAAGGTGCTGGGCGGTAACGGGCGCGTGCCGTGGTGGTGCCCTCCCAGGGGTGTCGGGGGAGGGCTGGCGTCACTGGCGTCACTCGGTCTCCTGCGTGGACCCTGCGGGTCCTCCCCCCCTGGGAGGCTTTGATTTCCCAAACTGCCACACAGACGGGCCCCCTGCCCTGGGACGCGGCTGCAGCCCACCCCCGAGGACCCGCAGGGGCTGCAAGCCGACACTGAGGCACAGAGACTGGGGGGTGGGGGAGAAACATGGGCAAGGGTGGGCAGCGCCGGGGGCTCTGTTTGGTCCTGGCAGGAAACCATGTTCACTGCAGTTGGGCCCGGACGCTGCCACGTGGGTCACCACAAAGGCCAACCCCAGCACAATGACACTGAGCAGACGCAAGGCTACCTTGCAGGTGAGGCCAAGCACGGGGTTGCCGAGACCGCCGTGCTATGCGCTAGCAACACCCATACCCCGGTTCACTCACGACACCTGAGGTCTGGAGGCAGCAAGAGCACCCGGCAGGTGTGTGTACACACAGTTAGTACCTCCACCTGAGCTCATGACCCTTCTACTTGAAACAGGTGCACAAAGGGAGCTTGTGGACCTCTCCTTGTGGTCACCACTTGTGTCCTGTGTCCTAACACTGAAACCAGAGCCCTGACCAGCTGCTCCAGTCCTGGTTCCCTGGGCGACAACAAGCTATGCGGTGTGATTCACACACTCACAAGCTCAGGGTCCCAACGTCCTGGCCCTGCATACAGCAGGGGGCCCCTCCGTGAGCCCCTAAAACCTAGTCTGTGCTTCCCACTGCGTCTCCCCACTTAAAGTCAATATTTTAAGTGTGTGCTTAAATGGTATCAATAGCAATTAGAGAGGGGATTCAGATTCCGCTGCAGATGGAGTTAATTGTTACGGCATCGATCTCCCACACGAGCCCCTCTCTCCAAATTACACCCGCACTGTGGGGCTGGGGCACCCTCTCCCCTCCTGCAACAATAAATTTTGTATCGAATGCACTGGAAAAAATGGCAGTTGTTGCAGAATCCATCCAAAAAGGTTTTTTTTTTTTCTCTTCCTGGGAGTAATTAAAAGATGCTTTTCTTGACTAATGGCCCCCGGTTTGGGAGTGGGAAGTCAATACGGCCTCACCGCCGTCAGCTGCGATTGATCGAGACGCTGCTCGACTTTGACCGGCAGTTCTTGGGGTGGCTGGGATTCACTGGAACCAATTATGAGCGGCCGAAGCTGCCCTAATCGGGGGCAGGGGCAGCCGGCACCAGGCTGGCCAGCCGTGTGGAGGAGGCACCTGTTTTCTAGCATGCCCCCGGGGCCAGGTAAACCCGGTACAGGTGGTTTCCAGGGACTGGCCATTTCTCTGGAGCAGTGTGTGCTATGTCCTCCATCCCCACGGTCCCCAGTCTCTGTGTGTATGTGTGTGTGTGCGCACGAGCGTGTGTGCGTGGCAGGAAAGCACATTTCTGATTCTATTCCACTGTCAGAATGAATCTTCCCAACAAGCTGGAACAGACAAGAGCTTCTCATGAAAGCAGCTGGGCCCCTTTTCAAAGAATCAGACTGGATGTATTGCACCAGGCTTTTCCTTGGCTAGAGAGGAAAATTGACTGAAGTATTTCTTTTTAGGGTTAACTTGGGGCCCCAAGAAGAGACCCCTCCAGCTGTGTGCATCACCCAGCACAGGCTCTGCAGAGACCAAAGGGGCGCCAGGGGCAGGATCCCGGCCAGACGCCCGTGCTCATGTCAGACTGAAGCCCACGCCCCAAGTCTTGCACGTCCGTCTGCAGTAGCTGCAGGCAGCGGCTGGGGGTGCTGGAGTGACTGTGGTTTTGCACCGGGAGGCCCAACCGCTTTCCACTGGTCACAGTATACGGAAGGACAGCTTATTCCCCCAGGACCATGGCCTCCTTCCCTCATCCCGGTCCCTCCCAGTGATGCCGCTGGTGGCCTCCGGTCCTGTTGGGAAGAGCGGAACACGCACAAACACATCAACAGACCAATGGCTCACCTTCTGCCCACGTTTGCAGGTGCTGTCGCACACCCTCACCCCAAGAAGGCCTTCCCAGGCCCTGGCTTGCTTTGGGTCCCCCACCCCCATGGGTGAGGACCCCCCATTTCTCCACCTACCCCGTACATAGGCCCCATGGCTTCCAGGCTCCTGTCTTTGCCTGGGGCACTCCCTGCCCCCAGGCCTGGAAACCACCCCACGTTTTAAAGCCCAGCTTGGGCACCGTTTCCGTGGCAAGGCTTCCCCAGGGCACCGCGGCTGTAGGAACCCCCCCAGCTCTGTGGGCTCCCCCCAGTCCCGGCCCCTCAGCTGGCCCACGACCACCACTGTGGGGCTGTGACCGCCTTCGACACCCCTCTTCCACGAGGAGGTGTTCGGTGAGCACTTGCCGGATTTAACCAAACAACGGAGCTCCCTGGGAGAACGACAGGAGGCACAGAGAAGCCCTCAGTCCTCCCAGGTGTTTCTCTTCTGCACGGCGCGTGAGTCCTGAAACCCGGAAGCAACCCTGGGGAACGCCAGGTAACCGCGCCGCGTTGCCGTGGAGAGGAGAGTGGACCCAGCAGCACTGCTGCAGCGGACGCACGACTGGTGCACGTGCCCCGCGCATGTGCCTGGCAGGCCAGTGGGACGGAGAGACCGCCCCTCCCTGTGCGGGAAAGGAGCGCTGCGCTGTCTCTAAAACACAAAGGCCGCGGGCGGGGGAGAGCGGACGCAGGCGGGGGAGAGCGGACGGAGGCGGGGGCCGCTCACGTGCACGGCCTGGAACCTGCGACACCCGCCCATGGTCCTCGCTCCTCAGCTGAGGTGACACTGATGTAAAACAGTTACTATTTTAAAAAAAAATCAACGTGCACCATTGTTTCCAACCATTCTACATGCTCCTGATTATAACATGAGAAAATCAACTTTTCTGATTCACGGAAACCGACCATGGTATGTACGTGCTCACTTTATACATAAACAGTAAGACGCATCAGGTCAGTGTTTTCTGATGTGTTTGTCCCCTCAATGACATTTCTTTATTGCTTTTAGAGACAAACTTCGCTGTGAGAAAGAAACTCCAATGGGATGCCTCCCATACGTGCCTGGAAAGGGGATCAACCGGCAACCTAGGTCTGGGCCCTGACCGGGAATTGAACCCGTAAACTATCAGTTACGGGACGATGCTCCAACCAACTGAGCCACACTGCCAGGGGTCTGATGCCTTTTAATTGTTTTAAGATTTTATTTATTTTAGAGAGGAAGGGAGGGAGAAAGAGAGGGAGAGAAACATCAGTGTGTGGTTGCCTCCTGCACACCCCCTGCTGAGGACTTGGCCTGCAACCCAGGCCTGTGCCCTGACTGGGAATCGAACCAGCAACCCTCTGGTTCACAGGCTGGCGCTCAGTCCACTGAGCCACCCCAGCCAGGGCTGGGGGCTGTTCTCTGTGCTCATATGTTATACTCAATGCAATTCCCACTTGTTTTTCACATTCAGACCGAAGTACTTTCTAAGAAAACTGTATCTTTCGAAAAATGGATATTAAAACAAAACTTAATCTCTTAAGAATGCTCCTAGTTGGTGACCCAGCTGATTTCTATCTTAGTCTTAAATGAGTCAAGGTAAAAGTTTTTTTAAAGCGCCTCCTTTGTTCGGTTCGTGAGACAGTCACCCAACTGTACCCTGTGCCGTAGCTGGCACGCAGAGAGCAGACTCCGGGGGGGGGGGGGGCTCCCCGTGCGGCTCTTGCTCCTGCCCCTCCCACAGAGCCCCGACATGGGGAGAGGAGCTGGGCACGCGACAGCCTCATTCTCGCAGGAGAACCGAAGGCAGCCCCAGAAGTTCACTTTTCAGTGTTAGTGGCCTCGGTGCAGCTGCGCCCCCAGCAGCACTTTGCGGAAGGACCCGGCTTCTTGCCCCTCACGTGTGGCCCAACCGCAGGCTGCCGCTTGGCCTTCCACCTGGTCTGACCGCCAGCAAAACTGGCCAGAGAAACGCACGGAGCGCCGTGTTGGGAGACCTGTGGCCTCTCCCTCCGTTCTTTTGAACATCTGCGAGGTGAACACGGACAGCGGCCCCACGCCCCACTTCAGAGCCAGGGCGCAGCCCAAGCCCCTGGCTCGGGACACCCGTGGAGATGGAAGGGCCCGTCCCCACCTCGAGACACGGGCTTCCTCAGAAGGCGCGCACTGTGCCACCTCTCAGCGCACGCGCTCGCCAAACCGGTTTATGCCAGCCGCACAGGAAAAATGACAGACTGAACGGCCTCCGACTAAACGCACAATTAACATTAATGGGGGGGGGTCACCGTACACTGTATGCCAATCTGGGTTGGTTCACTGTGTTAGAAATGTATTTTAGGAAATAAACTGTATTTTGTTAGCATAAGCGCACTTATTTTCTGTGTATCTATACTCGAGGAAACGCTTATCAAAGATCTAAGAATAAAAAATTAGAAGAATCAAAAATCTATAATTAGTGTTAATAGTGCAGCTTATGCCTATTAGAAATGCATTAATTAACAGTGATGTATTCATAAGATTAGAAGCTTAATTCATTTCTAGAAGGGGAAGAGAAATCCCCAAGGTGTAAAAAGAAACATAAAAAAATGGAGGAGCCTGAATTGGCCACGCTGGCTGAGGCCCGGTTTTAAGCACAGGCCCGGCTGCACTGGTCTGGCTGGCACTCACGCGGCGTGCGGGGGCCATTTTGCAGTGGCTGTCCCTGGGCGCAGCGGGCCCTGAGGCCACGCCCCTTCCCAAGTTCCTACCTGGTGGAGTCCAGCGAGGGCTTGGCCCGCCCCTGGCAGCTCTCTTCCCAGACGCTGTTGGCCAGCTCGTTCCCGATGGACAGCATCACCTTGATGAGCTCGACGGGCCAGTCGTCCAGGTCCAGCGACCGGACTCGGGAGAGGTGGGTGCCGAGGTTCCGGTGGATGCCGGAGCACTCGATGCACATGAGGGCGCCCAGGTTCAGGCTGGCCCAGTTGGGGTCTGTGGGGAGAGGAGCAATGCAGCATGCGGTCAGACCATGCTCAGGCGGGCCACTGCCCCCCGGGGTCCCGGCGGCAAACTGCGAGTCATGCAAACTTTGCCACCAGACTCCCTCCCTCCAGTAACACGGCTTGAAGATGCTCCCCGGTCAGTGCTTGTTGCCATTTGGGGTGTCTGGAGAAATCCAATGTGCCGTGGCACATTGAACCATCTGGCCTCAGCCACAGCAAAGCCCTGGAATGTCCCAAAAGAGAGACAACTGGGCTCGCTGGTTTGGAGAGATGCACTTCCCAATACAGCTCCAGCAGCAACGCTCTAGAGAGGAGGGACACAGGTGGAAAAGTCACACGTGACTTGCTGTGTGCTCCTGGGACGTTCTCAAAGCTGGGACATCCCTCATGGCCACTTCTGCACCTGTGGCACACCCGAGTTTTCACGAGTCCTAGGACAGCCATTGGCAGATTTCAAAGACAAAAGGGAGGCACTCCACTAGGAAAGACTACGGTTTCCGGCGGACTCACGGAGTGCACCTTGAGGCCCTCCTGGAGTGGCAGGCCCCACCCTGAGCCACTGGCGCCAACTCGCAGCCTAAGTGGTATCAGTGGTGCCTTTCACACCACTCAGGGGCGACTGACGTTTGCTCCAGGCGCACTTGAAGGGTCAGCAACAACAAAACAGGTGGCTGACGCCGTTTTTACTCTGAATCAATCTGCAGATGGCAAAGGACCAGGGACGGCAGCGTGCGAACCTGCCGGAAACCAGCCAGCCTTGTGCCTCACGTCTAAGCCCTGCTCAGGAAGGTGGGCATGGGACAGGGAGCTGTGGCCACGGAGACTGGCCAGGTGGGAAGCAAAAGCAAATGCCCCAAATACAGACAATTAAAAGAAACAAACAGGGATACACAGGTTAAACATTAGAAAGTACAGTCAGAAGAACCAAGACCGGAGCTGCACGGAGTGGGTCTGGCCCGGGGCCTCGGTGGGTGTTTTGGGAAGGGGTGGCCTAGCACGGAGTCCTTGGAAACGCCCCATTGCCCGCCCAAGCTCTCAGCTGCCTGCCACCCCCCCCTTGTAGCCCAACCTCTACACTGGCCAGCGCTTCTCCTGCACCCACCCCCACTCCCACCCCCCCACCCGGGGCCAAGTGCAGTCCTCACTCCCTACCTCTGACCCTCCTGGGGGCCCCACGGTGCTCCGACACCTTTGGGTCCAGGCCCGGCCTGGACTTGTCTCCCACTTGTCTGGCTGCTCCAGCTTGGCATTCCTTTCCAAGTCTTCCCCTGAATCTGCCTGAACGTCTAGGGGGCTACATGAAGTCTTCTGTTTTCTCCCCTCCTCTTTCCTCACTGCCCCCTCTGCCCCCACATGCAGCCCACGGAAGGCTGTGATCAGCTCTGAGGTTGGCCCGAGTGCCAGGCCTGAACGGTGACAGCCACACCTAGGACATGACCCAACGGTCTCTGAGCCAAAGACCTCAGATGTGGGCCCATGGAAGTCAGCTGGGGCCATCCCCTCGCCCATCGGGTAGGGCACCCACTTACTCTGGGTCTCGCAGTCCACGCAGTGCGAGTTCCCGCGGAGGCTCCGTATCGACTGCAAGGCCATGGCCTCACTCTGGCTCGTCAGCCGGGACTGGACATGGGGGAGACACACAGACGCCAGCGATGAGAACCCAAGGGAAACATACGCGGCCCCTCGCAACACCAGGGCCAAAGAGAACCAACCGTGGGTGAGCCTGGAGGGAGGGCGGTTCCAAACTCTCGCCCTCCTCCGAAGTCTGCAGGATAAAGCGTAACTGACCAGGATGCACCGGGAGGGGGCGCCCGTGTTTGATTCATCAGATGAGAACAGCTCTGCCAGATGTGGTGACAGGGCCCCCCGGGTCCCTCCCGAATGAACATGACCATACCGCACCGCCTGGGCGACGCCACCGGTGAAAGTACTTCTGCTCTGTGTCTACCCGGTGTGAAGAGTAAAGGAGAAACGACTTTTCTGCCAATTAAGTGAAGGGCAAGGCTTCGGTGGCGCCATGGAGACACAGGTCAAGGACCTAGTCAGGAGACCACGCCCACCCCGCGCTGCGCTTCGCTTGGCCTTCGGAGCTGTTCTCGGCCACAGCTGCGATGTCAGTGGCGGGCGCGAGGCAGGGTGGGGTGGGCGCGGCTGGGCGTGGCTACGTGCGCAGACACACTTGAGTGTCTTCTCGGAGCAAGTTCAGTACTTGCGGAAAGAGGAAGGAACTTGATAAGCTACGAACTAGGCTCTAATCATCGTTGCTAAGTTCTGTTAATATTTTGGTAACTATTCGTGCAGCCTTTCTCAAAGTACATCTATAAGCATGTAAGTGCGTCTTAAAAAGGCAGTGAACTGTGTATTGCTTTGAAACCAGCCCTTTAGCTTAGTAAGACATTGCCTCTCGCTGCCATCCGTTTTCTCCAGCATCATTGTTTTAAACGCTGCACAATATTCTCCTTCTGATGCCTTATTTACGGCGTCTCCGATTTCCCTCCATTGTACCCAGCGCTGGAGCTCTGCACGAGACCGTGGGTGTTAACACAGGAGAGACTCCTGGTGGTTGAGGTGTGAGGGAAAAGGGTAGGTACCATTTTTAAGGCTGACACTGCATGCATTTAATATAATGGTTAAAATCAAATAGATTTTCAGAGGCCATTTAGACTAAGCTTGGTTTTTGGCAAGAATTCTTCGTAAACTGAACTATGTCATGTCAATTGATGTGAAATACTTGATCGCACACTACTAACAATATGTTGTAATTTCTTAATTGCTACTATCTGAGTAGCATGATGTAATATACTGTTGGGGTTTCATGACCTTCGGTTAGATACCCAGGTATTCAAAGTATGTTTGTTTACGCTGGCCCCTGGAGTGGGTGTGTGTGCACGTGTAGAGATGTGTCCGGCAGTCCCCGTCCCGGGTCATCAGGGCAGCGCACTGGCGGATGTCCACCCTGCTACCAACCGGATTATCCATAGGCAGCTCACATGCCTGGTAGCTGTTCTTGCCTAGTGAGTATTTTGCCCTCGGGCTACTGCTCACACCTGCTGGGCCACACCCCAGGGTGACAGGGGTGAGCCCGCTGCCTCAGTGCCCGGTGCATCCACCCAGGACAGCGACCGGACTCTGAACGCTGGTGTTCGTGCTGGACCCGAGGGTGAGGCCGCAAGTTTCACGGACGGTGCAAGAGCCTGGAGAGGCCTGAGAGGGAAGAGGCCGACGGGCTTCCAGGTCCTTCTGAATCCAGCTGACATGGCGTGGCTTCAGTCTGACCTGGGACACTGCAGTTTTACACCAGGTCTGGAGACGTGTTTGCCTGCTCGGCAGCACCGCCCTCCCAACTCCTGTTCTGAAACTACATCCCCGAGTTTGGCGGGAGACACTGGCGGAGGCCCCCCCACAACGGCCGAGGGGACCGGGGACCGTGCCTGTCGCTCCGGGAGCCGGGTCTGCGGCCGTGGGATTCGCGAAGCCGAGGTGGCTCAGAAACGAGAGGCAGCCCTGCCCACCTTGGGCACAAAACCGCTTTTAAAAAGAGAAGCAAATTACATTATAATAATAATGACTGTGGTCTGGTTTATCCTGGTTAAAGAGGGTAATAAAATGAGATCCTCCATCTTTCTGAGAGACAGGCTCCCTTCCTAATGACAAAGCTGAGCATAAATCACGGGCAGGAATTTCTTTAAATTGCTACATTTGAAACTGGGTCGGCGGGCAACATTCTTTCCTAGTTTTGAGTTGCCTATAGTTTGAAAATGCCCTCCAAGACTCTAAAATGTCCCAGAAAAGGGACCCAAAACATCCAAGCATTAAAATAATGGATCTGAAGGAATCCCTGACGAGAAGGAGGAAATGGAAAAACGATGTTTGTATACGGGACGTACACTGGGCATCTTCTAACGCAGGTGAAAGCTGCTCTGTCTCTCCCGGCTAAGCAACCCTAAGTGGCCGCCTCTAATCACTGAATGAAGCGTGAGACCTGCTGGCAGAGCATAGGAAGTGAACACCGCGTCACCCCCCAGCTCCTTGCACACCACATGTGTACATGTGCTTTTGCTCACGTCTGTGTCGAGGATCAGTTTCTAACTTGACGTGGCTTTGAATCGTGTGCATTTAGGAGGACGGAACAGTGCGCCTTTCTAGGGGAGTGTGGGCGGGTGCGTGACCAGAGGCCATCGCTCACGATAGAAAGGGCAATGCTCCAGACCCAGGTGAGCCGAGAGTGCGGACCGCTCCAGGGCACTGCGCCTCAGGAATGTGGCCGGGCAAGGGGAGGGGCCTGCGGTGTGTGTGACATGCAGTGGGTCTCACGGTTCCCCCGCCAGCCTTCTGCTCAGAAGGAGCACCGGGGCCTGGCCAGTCACCCCATCCCGTGACGTCCTGCCTCCTCCTCTAGGGGGGATCCCCACACTCCCCGCACGGTCAGCCGCCCTCAACTTCGGGGGAGCAGCCCACTGTGGGCCTCACCTTATTCTTGCTGCTTTCACAGGACTGGAGGCTGGCCAGGATCTGGCTCTCGATGGCTTGGACCCACGCGTCTCTCTCTTCATACGTGGTGGCTTCAAAGTGCCACGTCTGGCCAGTGAGGGACACGATGATAAACTCGAAGTTTTCCTCTTGCTCTGAAACACAGAGTGCGATGGGGTGAGAGTCTGGCTGTCGCGTGATGGCAACCCCTCCGCCAGGTGTCTGTCGGAAGGGTGTCCCTGGGCTCCGCTGCGCCTGCGTGGGGCTGATGGCCCGGAGCTCGGAGCCGAATGCACAGACCTCCAAGCACTCACGGTCTGGCTCCCACAGCCAGCTGGTGCAGCTGGGTTTCCATCTCTGCCTGGGGGCAAGGAAAATGAAAAGTAGCATGTGACATCGGCGTCTCTGTGCTGGGCACAGGTGAAGTGATGAGGGACAACCCAGTGCTGACCGCTCAGCTCCGCATCTGCGGGGTGCACACCCTAGCAGTGCCGCTGATCTCGGAGCACAGCTCTCACTCCGGGTGAGCGCGCGCGTGCAGACAGGCCTCTGAGGCACAGCAGGAGAGGGCGTGCCTGGGGTTCCGCAGAAGACCCCGGAGATTGGAAGGCAACCGTCTGGACCAGGAGGAGCTGGACTTGAGCCAAATTCTGCTTGGTCACGGGCCCCACTGGGCTCCTTAAACAAGCTCTAGGGCCCTCGCAGCCCCGTTCCTCGCCTCCACCAAAAGGAGAGGCCACCTGCCGTGCAGAGTCCCCACTGGGTAAACGACGTGTGCTGACTGAGGCAGACATGGGCCCACCCTGTAAATGTCGGCACCTGTCCTCTCTTCTCGTGACCCCGTCCCTGCTGCAGAAACGAGAGCAGTGATGGCACACGGACACAGCATGACCTGCCACAAATGACCGCCGGGAAACCTCCTGCCGGCTCTCAGGCCCACATCTCATTTGGTTCCAAGCTCCCAGTCACTGGGCCGTGAACTTGCTGCCGCATCACCTGGTGAGTAGTTGTTATTAGTGATGGTAATGACCTGCCGACCCACCTAGGTGACCACAGCCGCAGTTCATTATCCTCTCAGCTGTCTGCACACCACCCTGATGCTCACTCATCTCTGCATGGTCCTCCCGCGCTCTCGGCTCCCCGGTACCTTTGCCCCTGTGACCCCTGACCTCTGGCCCCTGACCTCTGCTGGGCTCCCTGCTGCTCTAGGGCCCTGGAGACCCTCCCTACCTCACCAGGAGTGCTTGGCCTCCAGACAAGGATGCTCACTCAGCTCATCTCCGAAGAAACTACAGCCGTGTCCCGCCCCCCGTCCCCTTCCCAGCAATCTCAGGAGAGGGCAGCCCCCACTCCACGCCAGAGGCTCCTCCACCTGACCCACTGACCCCAGGGGGCGGGGACAGGGCCCAGGAAGGGGATGCTCCTGCCCCTGCTCCCACCCGCTGAGCCTGGGGAACCACTTCCCTAAAGCACCATGTGCCGCCGTGGAAGCGGGGCCCGGACACCTGTTCGAGAAACCCCGGCGCACTCTGAAGACGAGCCCGGTGCTCTACGCAGAAGACACGCCCCCACGCTTTCAGGATCTGACCACCCGGGGAGCGAGGCCTAAAGCTGTGGGACCTGCTTGGAACGAAGAGTCCCCGAACACACGGGAGGCGGGCACCTCCTTTTGCAAAACCGCCCTGGGTTCCTCTCCCTGCGAATTTCCAAGTACACGGGCCCTCCGAGACCCAGTCCACGGCTGCTCGAACACCTTCCAATCACTGCCCCACCCCATCCCTGTTCCCTCTTATTGTGGACAGCGCTTCCTCTCCCTGCACAGTCCACGTCGCGGAATCACCCCGTCTCTACTTTCAGTAGGTCCTCCCGCCCTCAGAGCGGCCCCCCGATGGGACGACTTCTGGACTCCACTCCCCTGAGGGGTCGAGCCCTCACTGGTGGCCTGGTCAGAGGGAGCCTGGGGGGCACTGTCAATTCGGACACCCCATGGCAGTGACCCGAGATGGCTGCCAACTCCCTCCTAGCGCCCCATGGAGCAGGACCCTAGCTGAGGGTGCCCGGGCTGGCTCCAGGCTCTTGGAGAAGGAGTGTGACTGTCAACTAGCGATGTCCGCCCTGGGGAGGGGAGGGGCACCTGCAGCCTGCCCGCCGCCTGTCCCCCCCCCCCCCCCCGCTCAGCTCTCGTGGTCTTCCTGGCTTTGGAATCACTTGTGACACCTGAGGACAAGCCTCCCATCTGTATGCCTGACCCCCAAATCCAATCGTTTGGGGGTTTAAAAATGCAAACAGTCCTCGAATACTCGGTCCTCACATCAAGTAACAGACACAAACCAGACCGGCTGCGGTCCTCATGGGCTCCTGCTAATGGCTGCAGTGCTGGTTCAGGTCGCAGAACCCCAAAACCACCCAGATGCCTGTCTTCCTGCCTGACCACTGCCAGTGCTGCTCCCGCACCCCAGCCCACACCTGCCTCCGCGCACCCTTGCACTTCAGGTTGCCCGGCAATGTGACGCACACACACCAGGCAGGGCCTTCTGTACAAAACGTGGTTTTTATTGCGTTGCTAAAACCACCTAAGGCATAATGGCCCAGCCCCAAGCCCACACTCTCCCCCCACTCAAATCACATCCATGAGTCAAGAAACCAGAACTGTGAGAATTAGGGGCTGAACGTCTCTAAACGGGAAGGCCACAGTAAGGAGTGGACACTTGGGTGGCTCAACAGACGGAACCAGCTGGGTGCCAGAGGGAACCCCGAGTCCAGCATCCAGCAACCCCAAAGGAACAGGGCTGCGGGGTCCTGGGTCTGCCGAGCCCCGTGGCTCCTGGCGAGTCCTCGGAAGGCAGCCGTTCCAAGCACGCCTACCCACGTGGGCGGGAACCGAGCAAGTGCACAGGACCCAGGACAGCGGACTCGCATCCCAGGGTTACAGATACAGGGCCCAAAACAGCTCTCCGTGAAATGTTGAAGGAAGTAGAAAAAAAGACTCTTCCAAATCTTCAAGAAGAGCAGACCGTGAAAATGGGCCAGACGGCTCTGAGTAAAAAGCCAGCTGTTTAGAAATACAAATGATAGTTGTTTAGGAAACAAAGTCCCAGTGGGTGGGGTAAAACGGGTGGGGTGAGAACGGCTGGGCGGGAGGCAGATCTGGAAAAAGGGGCGACAAGGAGGGTGGGCACTGTGACAGAGGCAGGCTGAGGTGGGGGCAGGCGCCGGGAGTGGCCATGCACCTGTGGGCCAAAGCGCGTGCCCTTCCAGCTGGGGGAGCAGCAGGTCTGCCCAGAGGGACTACCAATCAATCACAAGGAAAACTGCGCCTGAAGTTGGCCGAACTGGAAAACTGCGGATGAAGAGAGGCCCTTAAGAACGAAGCAAGAAAAGGCCGATCGCGCCCTGGCTGGTGTGGCTCAGTGGATTGAGTGCGGGCCTGTGAAACAGAGGATAGAGGTTTGATTCCCAGTCAGGGCACAGGCCTGGGTTGCAGGCCAGTTCCCACCAGGGGACACATGAGAGGCAACCACACACTGATGTTTCTCTCCCTCTCTTTCTCCTTCTCTTCCCTTCCCCTCTTTCTAAAAGACAAATAACTAAAATATGGTAAAAAAAAAAGAAAAGGCTGATCACCCTTCAACATGTGTCTGTAGTGCGGACAGCCGCAGTGCGGACGAGCCCGCCTGCTGGACGGAGCAATGGTGTCCTCGGAGCAGGAGGCGAAGAGAACGTCCAGAACTGTGTCCAGAACCGGGGTCTGGGCAAACCCACATGCAAGCAAAGAACGCACAGAGCCTACTGCTGACAGACCCTCGCTGCAGGAACTGCTGAACGGCACACTGCAGAAGAGTCTAGAAAGGTTAGAGCCGGGAGGCTGGTGAGCAAACGAGAAGTTAGACATGGAGCCGCCTCCAAACGGAGACGACGTTGAATGCTGCTCGAGGCAGCGCCCACTCCGGGGCAGGCACCGGCACCGGCACCCGCACCCGCACCCGCACCGGAGGGAGGGGAGCGCAGGTGCGGAGTCAACCCGGGACTCTGTGCCGGACTCTGCACTGCTCCCCAGGGGTGAGCACTGGCCCGGACTTGATAAATCCAGTGTCCAGGACACAGTGACCTCTACGACGCGAGAACTAGAACTCGAGCTTCCAAATCAGAGGTGGGCGTGCCACCTTCTACCAAGGGACCCCGACCCCCATGCAGCGGGCAGTGAGCGCCGCCCTGGGCCCCGCCGCGTGGGTGGTCCCAACCAAGACCGTGAGCAGCGGTCCTTTCCTGTCACAGGGCGCTTGTGGTCAGCCCCGCTGGCCAGCACAGCGAGACCAAGCGGGGAAACAAGGGCCTAAGGACTGGGCGGATCACAACACTGAACTGCCATTCGAGGGTCGCACGGCTGTTCACGCCTGGAGCCCCGGACAGTCTGCACGTTGTGGGAAACAGCGAGAGCGAGACGCACGACCAAGGCGACGGAGGGTGAAGTGCATCTCCACGCCCCAGGCTCAAACGGAACCCGAATTTAAATACACGCGGTTAAAACGCATCTCTCCATCTGTGAGGGAGTGAAGGAGACACACGGAGACCTGGCCTGAAACAGCCAAATAACTCCCCAGGGGTCACAACACGCAGGGTCACTGGGGACCCGCCGAGCGCTCGGCGGTGACGGATCCCCCAAAGAGCTCCCGAGGGAGGCAGGAGCTGCTCTCCCTCCTCCACGCCTGGAGGAGGAAGCGCTGGCTGGGCCTGCTTCCTATTTCTCTAACTCTGTGGCTTGGCCTACATGCAGGAGACGCCTCCCCCGGCCTGGCCCACGGGAGATCCAGAACGGCTCTGGAATAAAGAGGCGATGCTGCCTCTCCCAAGTGGGCCCTGCGGAGGGGCTCCTGCCGAACTGCGCAGCCAGCCTCGGCCCCCAGGAGGACAGGGGACCGGCTCGCTGTGGAGAGGAGGGCGGGGAGGTGGCGCCATGGCACCCCCACACGATGTGTGGGTCCCAGGCTTCGGGGAAGACGTCTTTACGGGAACCTGGCCGCCTTGCTTCCAGAGAGAGGGATGGAAACCTGAGCGTGGAGCCCGGCTGCCATCACTGCACACCCATCAGCAGACAGGACCTGGCTCGGCCCAGGGCAGCGCACGTTCCCCAGATACCATCTCTGTTAAATGAGAA